CCCCCTGCCTCCGCCGCCGCCGCCGCCCCCTCCGCCACGTCGCCGCCGCCGCCCCCATCCTGCCCCGCCTCTTCGTCTTCCCCATCCTCCTCGTCCTCTTCCTGCTGCCGCCGCTCCTCCTCTGCCTCCCACCACTTCTCGTCATCCCCCAAATACCCAACCCCTCCCTCAAGCACCGGACCTTCCACGTCCCCGCTGCCGCCGCCGCCGCCGCTACCGCCGTAGCCGCCGCCGCAACCCGCCGCGTCCCTCAGACCAGCTCGCACCGCCGCCGCCGCCGCCGCCGCCTCCTGGGGGTGGGGCGGCGGCGGCGCCTCCCTGATGATGTCAGCCTCCAGGCCGCGCGACCTCAGCGCCTTGTGCTGCGCCCGGCAGAGCTTTAGGGGGCGCGGCTCCACCAGGGTGCACTTGATGCCGTGGTTCACCACTAACTCAAACGTCAGCGCGCCGCGGCCGCCTGGTTGCAACATTCACGTGATTTTGGGGCGGCCGTTTGGGAAACTTGAGCTAGGAGGTCGGGGCTGAGATATGGCTGTGCCGGCTCGATCACGGGACAGTTTGCGTGACACACGCGTGACATCACGACAGCAGCTTGGGACGGAACGCAGCTCACCCCCCTGCCCCCGCAGCGCACCTGCAATGTCGAGCACGCCGGCACCCTGGTTGAGGGCGTCCCGGCCGAAGGTGCCGACCAGCCACCGCGCGAACACGCGCGCGCGGTAGCGCTTGCTGGCGGCGCCGGCGACGTGGCAGCAGCCCTCGCGCTCCGCGTTGGCCCGGCGCTCGGCGGTCCTGGCACGCATGGGATGCAAGGCGGGGACGACGGCGTGCGCGGGCAGTGTGCAGGCGTGGCCCTGCACATTGCTCGGAGGAAGACTTTCAGGGCAGCCTCAAACACGCGTGACGACGCTTCTCCCGCATGCGGTAGTTTGGGCTGTTGCGTCCAGCAAGCTGCAGAGGGTGCGTGTCCCGTCATGGCCCCCCTACCCACCTGCGCCTGACCCACGACTGCAGGACCGCGCCGCGCGCGGCGGCGGCCACGTGCGCGTACGGGCAGGCGTCCCCCTTCAAGCACTGGCCAGAGTTGACATAGAACTTGCAGAGCTGCAGCTGCGGGGCAGCTACGACCGCAGCTGCCGTTGCAGGGGCTGGCGACGGCTGCACTGCCCCAGGTGCCTCCGCTGCTGTTGTGGTGCCACTGTTGGGAGTGGCTCGTTGCTCCTGCTGCTGCTCTGCCCGCTGCTGCTGCTTCTGCTGCTGTGCCTTTTCTGAATTTTGCTGCTGCTGCTGCCTAGCCTGCTGGTCCTCCCCGACTGCACCATGACCATTCCTGGCGGCATGCTTTCCGTGCTGCCTGCGCGGCGGCACGCGAGGCGCGAATGACGCGCCTCCCGACACTTCCCTCCAGCGCTGCAGCACCTCGAAGCCGAGGCACGTCAGTATGGATGACTCATCATCCTGGTATCTGCCCTCAAACGACACCACGTCGCCGACCCTGGTCGCATGGGGTCAGACGTCATGGGGTTGATGTCCAGTTGGCGGGCGCGTCGCGGGGAGCATCATGAATGCTGACACTGTGCACAAAGTTCACCACTGACTGGTTTCAATTGTGAGATCCCACCGGCCTTATCCGATGCTGCGCCTTACCTGATGCTGTCCCTTGCTTCCAGCACCCGATCAAAGTGGCTGGCCTTGACGATCACCTCCACCCAGCGCTCCTCTGCGGCGGCCTGCAGCGACGGCAGCTGCTGCGGTGCCGGCGGCACCCCGTCTCCTGTACCCGTGGGCGCCAGCTCGGCAGCGCTGCGTGGCGCATGGCTGCTTTGGGTTACGACATCATAGAACACCAGCTTTTTACTAAGGGCCCTCACACAACACACCTGCCCGACAATCGTTTCTTGTCGTGGCTGCTCCATGCGTACGCATCAAGTTAAAAATGGCCAGTGGTATTTTCACCCGCTTATATGGCACAGGCAGACACAGAAGAGATTTCGCCCCGCCGCGCATCGTCACTTTGTCACCTGCCTGCGGTTGCATCAACTTGAGCTACAACACTCCTACCTGGCCATCACACACAGGCATGGCAGACAATTTGATCAGCAGGTCAAAACGTCTGTGCAGCATCAGTATGCCAGCCGCGGCCTGGTGATGGCAGCAGTGGGCTTGGCTTGATGCAGCTGTTGATTGACTTGTGCATTGACTTGGGGTGATGCACTGCTGGCCAGGTGCTGCATTCTTGATTGGGAGACCTTCTCAACGCGCACTACGTTTTGTTACCAGTCCTAGGCACACAAAAGGTTTCAAGAAGTTAAGTCAACACACAACTCGTCAAACACCAGCACGCTGAATATGCGCCATGCGGCACCGACACACAAGGGCGCGTCGGCCAATAGAGCCCTCGCCCGCCTCGCAGGCCGCAGGCGCGCCCCGCTCCGATGTGTCGCTTGCAAACATTCTGGTTCCTCAAGCCTGTGCAGGGGGTGAGGCCATGACGGAGCATGGCACATGCACCAGTATTGGCCGAAGTGAATTGCGCTGTGGTCGAGTGAGCTCAGGGGGTGGTATAAGCTCCGCCCATTGCTGCTGTCGGGTGGCGTGGTGGAGTGAAGTACAATTGTTGAGGACGGACGCCAGCAACATGCGGCCAATGGGTCAAGCGCGCAGGGCTGGGCGTGGTCCCTCGTCAGAGGAGTGCCCCCAACCGCCAGCCCCGTGCCGCATCGCGTCAGCCGCGGGCGTTCGCGCCGCTGCTCCGCCAGCCCCGTGCCTGCATGGGTCAATGTGCGCCGTGCCGTAGGCGTCACAAAAAAACGCGCGTAGCCCTGCCTCAATCAAACTGTCCCGGTCAAATCGAAGGCCCCGAGCAGCAGAAGAGCCAGGCTGCACACGCCGCATGCGGCAACGGTAGTCGCCTGTGCCCCACATGTGGGCCCTCCCAACACCCAAGGGGATCCCTCGCCTAGCCCCAATCTTCGGCCCCCGGCGCCCATGCTCGCCGCGGTGGCGGCGGCGCTGGGATGGCATGCATGTGTGTGCACGGCTGCGTGCGCCACACAGCAACGGCACGGGTGTATCGAATGCATTGCTCTGTGCGCGCCCAAGATAGGCCCTGCAAACACAACAGCGATAAGCGAAGGCTGCCGCCTGGGTTCTTGCGTCCCTCTTGGCGAACAGCAATGTCAACAGCAAACGCGCAATTCCCCAGTTCCCCTTCCATTCGTTGCGGCACCAGCGACCCACAAGGCGCACCCCTGGCGCATGCGGCACAGCCGAGTCGAGCGCACGGGCGTGTCGTCGCCCAGACGGCCGCCTGAGTCATGCCGGCTCAATTGCTGAGCTCGGGGTAGAAGTCAGCAGTGGCCTCGGCGCCGCCGCCTGCCAGCTTGCGGCCCGTGTTGGCGCGCTGGATCTTGATGTCTGCACAGTTCCAGAACTCTTCAGGGTCTTGGAGTTGATGGGTGGAGTCCGATTTCGGGGGGGGGGGGTCCGCGTCAGGACAATGTGTGGGTATCAGTCATCGGCTCGGCTTGGGCGCAGCCGCCGCGCGACACCTGGCTGTGGCGCGAGCCGGCTGGGGCATGCAGGGCGCGATGCAGCTGTGCACGTCGCCGCTCGTCCAGCGTCAGCCGGCTTCTGCAGCAGCAAGCAGCCTCGCCCCGCCGGTCCGCCCCCTGTCCAGGCCCGGTGCTCTCGCGAACAGCGGCGCACGGGAGCCGCTGCGTTCAGCCGGAAGCGGTGCCCTCATGTACAGCAACGCCAGCATGCACTCACAGGACTGCCCAGGCTGCCCGCAGTAGCCAAAGGCGACGGGCTTCTGGCAGTCGCCCTTGTTCGCCTTGTCGCAGGGCGGCCAGCAACGGGAGCCTGTCAAGTAGTAGAACTGCATCTTGCAGTGGTCGCAGGTGAACCCCTTGGGAAGCTTCCAGAAGGTGCGGTACACGTACATCCCCTTGAACTGGTCGCAGCTCCACGCGACGCAGCCCTCGCCCTTGCCGACGGGCGGCATCTTGTAAGTGCTGAAGCCGACCGTGTTGACCGGCGGCGTAAAGCCGTCCGTGACGCCAGCCCAGCCCTTGGTCCAAGGCAGGTCAAAGTCCTTGCCGCGGCCCTCAGTCCTGCGGGGTGAGGGTTGGGTCCGAAGCGCAAACTGTGGCACCACGGTCGCCGAGCGGCTCCAAACCCTCCAGTGGTGAGCGCGCTGCCGCCAGGCAGCCCCTCACGCTCTGCCTTAGGCTTCCTAGCAAGATTCCTGGCAAGATACTGCACAGTGACTTTTGGGTTGCTCGGACCTGCTGTCTGCAGCAGGACGAGCCTAGCCCCGCATGCCGCTGGGCTCGTTCAGAGCCCCGGGCCGCACCTCTCAAGGGTCGTGCATTTAGACTCGTCCTTGGCGTCCAGGGGGCACACACGCACATTCATGCGTCCCAGGTGGTTCTGAGCAAACATGATGTCGACGTTGATGGTCTGCCCCTCCTGATAGGTCTTGCCGATTTTGCCTGGGACGTCCCACTGTCGCAACAGGTTGTGCGTACGCGAGTTTTATGGGTTAGTGCGCGGCGGTGAGTGTCGTGCGGGCCCCGAGGGTGAGTGCATGTGTGTGTTTGTGTGTGTGCGAGCATGTCTGTGTGCGTGTGTGTGAGAGTGTGTGTGTGTGTGTGTGGCTGAGTGTGCGTGCTTGCATTCAGAGGTGCGCGAGTATGTGTGCAAGGGTGGAGGGTGCGCATATTGTTGTGTGCGTGCATGTGTGTGTACGTGTGTGCGCATGCACATCAACACATACCATTGTTGCAGGAAACAGGAAGTTTGCGCCTTTCGGGTTTGAAGCCCAAAGCCCAAATCAGAAGCCCCCAAAGCCCAAAAATGCCCAGCGTCGTGGCCCCCACCAGCTGCCTGCCGCATGCTGCGCAGGGCCCCATCTTTGTGGGGCGGTTTGCAACCGCACCTTGTTCTGGTTCTTGGCGTCACCACAGATGCCATTCATGTTGTGCTTGGGCCACATCAGCTTCTCGTTGTTGCTCACGCTCGGCACACCTGGGGTGGCGGGCAGTTGGTGGTTGAGTATGAAGGGGCCGAACGGCGCGAACTCCACTCAAGCCATCGCTCATACCTCTGCTATCTGTGCTCATAGCCTGTTCAAAATATACGTGCACATGGTTGCTCGAGCGCGCGCCAAAGCGCCCTTGTGCTGGACTGCCGCGCCCCGCCGGATAGGCGGTCTGCCTGGACTGCCGCCCGGCACCCGGGCTGCGAGGCAGCCTTCCTCTACCCCAGCCGCTTGCGGCTTACCTCCCGCAAACACGGCGTGCGGATTGTAGTTGTATCGCTCCAAATAGTCGTACCACGGCCGCGACTTCGGGTCTATCATAACGGCGTGCGCATCCGCTGATGGCAGCCATGCCGCCGCTGCCAGCAGGACCGCCGTTGCCGCGGCGACCGCGACTGCACAACCTTTTGCCATTGCCTACGCAAATGCAGGTGGTGGGGGCCTTCATGAGCGGCGGCCATGCGCCTGGCCCGGGTCGGCGCGCAGGAGCTGCACGGTTGTGGTGACGACTGACTTGTGCGCGCATACGCAAGGTTGAGAGCATGGCCGCCCAAGCTGCACGGGCCGTAAAGAACAAAAATCTGACGGAGTTCTCATCCTTGACGGCCTCCACGGCGCCCTTAGTGCCTTGCGAAGCAGAGGCGACCAAGTTACCCCTGGCGGGCTGACAGTCAACGCGCGCCTGTGCCGTGAACGCCCACAAGCACACTTATGCGTGTAATTCAAAGGCTTCAATACGATTCTCACCCGTGTCTGGGAGCAGAGCTAGCAACGAGCGCCACACTGAGGCTCGGGCCAAGAGCTCGAGTTGATGATATGGTAGCGAGTATAAGAAATCCCGACGAGATGACAGTGGCCGCGCAGTCGGTCGTGGACGGACACCAAGATCGACGTTGCAAAGGGCGGGCTAAGTGACGCGCGGGCACGTAAGGCGTTTGTGTTTCTGATTTGATATTTTTTGGAATTTAATACGGGTGGGGTTGGACAGGGATCGCAGCAGGGCTGTAGTATCCTACAGGAAGCACGCGCCTTCCTGGCTCCGGTGATCCAAGACAGACACGAGCACAGTCGTACGATGTGCAACCCGCGCCGCCCCTGAAAATGCTTTGGATGTTGACAGATCCTTTCGTTCCGCCCTGCATCGCTGGGTCCCTTCTACAACACAAACTGGCAGTTGGTTGGTTTCATGGCGCGCTGCGGCTCAGCGACTTTTGTTGGGACCTGGGCTGCCAATGACATCCAGAGTCCAAGCGTGTTGCAATCATGAGCAAGCGTTTTCGTAAAAGCACGAGCACGTGTGTTTCGTCTGGGTATGGGATGTGTGCATGCATGGGCACCCACCCCTCCGTGATGCCTGCGACGCCGGGGGTTGGCCTCATAGAGCGACGCCTCCATCGGCACATGGAAACGCTACCGGCAGTAGGACGGGGTGTTGCTGTTGCAGGCCAGACGGCGATATAGGGTCACAGGTACCATGGGGTTCCATCAAAGGCACACATAGAGATGGCGAGGGAAATCGCACAAAGCGCACAGGGCATCGTCGCTCCAACCAACAGAAGACAATAAAACTCCCGCTTTGCCTCATACAGGATTCTGTGCAGTACGGCAGAGCAGTCAGTACAGGTGTCAAAGCCGGGATTTTTGTGTCGGGCCCCGTCAGACTCTTGACGGCTGAAGCACGCAGGCACAAGCGGCCGCAGCCCGGCATCCACACAACCCCGTGTTCTGAGTTGAGCGACAGGGCCAAACGGTGACGTCACTGGCGTCAGTGACCCGGAAATGGCAGGTCTAGACGCCAGCCCCATCTCAAAATTGGTGTTGCGGTCTCGACACCGAAGCAGCGCGCGGCCTGCACTGGATGCCAACGTGTGTTGACGCCGCACTGCCTCGGCAAGCACAAGCGGGCCAGCGACTGCAACGCAGCCGCCTCGCGTGTGCCACGGGGGTCGGCAGGCGCGGCGCGCTGACACGCGGGCCTGTCACCGGCGGTCGCGGTGGCCATCGCCTAGCCTGCCGCTCTTCGCTCCTCTCTCAGCTTTGAAGGCTGCCTTAGTGCAGTAGTACCAGGCCGCGATTGGTTCCACCGAGGTCGCTCCGGCTACCTGCAGCAACGAGTGATCCCGCCTGCCCTAGAACGCTGGCCTTTACCTGAACCGCCTGGGCTCCGCCAGCCGCCCAGCGAGCCGGCGGCGGTCACCGCTCCCTGCCAGCCTCCGCGCCGCCGCTGCCGCCGCCGCCGCTGCTGTGCGGGTCTGCAGATGCCGCCGCCGTCGCCGCCGCCGCGGCGCGCCGCATTGCCAGCACCAGCTTCGCCACGTCTGGGAACGCGGCGACGGCGCGGTCCTGCCCCAGCAGCTCCACCGCGAGGCGGTTGAGGGCCGCAATCACGCCCTCCATCGGCGGGCGGCACGCGGGGTCGTCCCGCCAGCAGCCCTGCGAGGATCGGGCGGTGCGGGTTTGGGGTTTGGGGTTTAGGCATGATGCCAGGAGGCCCGAGGCGGCCCGCCACGTGTGCAGCTGCGCGCCATCACACAGCAATCGTGAGTCCGCAGCTCACTTTGGGCGTGAGCGGCAACGCCTGTAAATTCAAGGCAAAGGCCAGGGTGTGGGTAGCAAGGGTGCCGGACCCACACCCCTTCAGGCTGCCCCAACCGCCGGATTGATCACCTGGCAGAGCTCCGCCAGCCCCCGGGGCACCCAGTCTGGCAGCGGCAGCATGTCGGCCGTCGGGCGGCTCAGCTTGGCGCTCATGAGCTGGCCGGGGTTCATGCCATGGAAGGGGGCCTGTGTGTGTATACGTGCGCGCGCGGGCGTGTGTGTGTGTGTGTGCATTAAAGGGGGTGCGTGCGATGAGGCATTGAAAGGTCACGCAGGGCCGTTGCTGCAGTGCAGATGGATCCACACTTCAGTGTATGGGTCCACTTGAAAGTTGCGCGACAGGGCCGGCTCCGAAAGCAGCCATCTGCTGATTCTTGTGAAAGGCGCGCCCCGAGGGAAGCAGGCCGGGCACAATGGCAGCAACCCTCCCCCCAAACGCAGGGGCGCGGCGCCCCACCCCGCAGGTGACGAGCTCCCACAGCAGAACGCCCACTGCGTACACGTCAGACTCCCGGCTCAGCGGCGCCCCCCGCAGCAGCTCCGGAGCCGCGTGCGTCAGCGCGCCGAAGCACGGCGCGCCGGCGCCGGCCGCGGCGCTGCCGCCGCCGCTGCTGCCGCTGCTGCTGATGCTGCCGGTGCAGCTGCTGCGTCTGCTGCAGCTGCTGTTGCTGCTGCCGGTGGGGGTGGGGCCTGCTGGGGTGCTGAACATCTCCATGACCTGGCTAAGCCCAAAGTCAGACACCTGCGTGAGCACACACAAAAAGGCACCAATAGGCCGGTTTCGGCCGCGTGAGCGGGCGCGCAGCTGCCGGCCCGGCGCATTACCAGCAATCCAAACGCGCCCCGTCGTCCTCGCCGCGGCGGGCCCCCGCGCCGGCCGCTCCGCCAACAGCAGCCCCCGCCGCACCCACCCGCGCGCAGAAGCCGCGCCCGTCGTGGCGCGTCGCGGCGGCGCCCTTCAGCAGCACGTTTGTCGCCTTCAGGTCGCCGTGCACGACGCCGCAGCCGTGGAGGTAGGCGACCGCGGCGCACACCTCCTTGGCGGTCGCAAGGACAAAGTCCAGGCGCACCAGGCCGGCGTCGTCCAGGAACGCGCCGCCGCGCAGCGCCGCCTTGGCACGCGCGCCGCGGCGGGGCGAAGGGAGGGGGCGCGATGAGGGCGCGGCGCACTGGAATAGCACAAAATCGGCAGAGGGACCCTCGTTCACCGCCGCTGCAGCTGCCCGGCCGGAAGGGCGTGCGCTGGTGAATGAACGCAGGCACAGGAGGTCGGCCCGAAAGCCCCGCCGCACGGGCGGCCGCCCACCTGCATGGTGCCCATGTCGCACCACTCCATGATCAGGTGCGTCTTCCACTGCGTCGCGCCCGCCGCGCCCTCCCTCGCGCCCCCGCCCCCAGCCCCGCACGCGCTGCCGGCTGCTGCGTGTGTGGCGCCCGCGGGCGCCTCCAGTGCGAGAGTGAACGATGTGAAGAGCTGCACAATCTGCGGGTGCCGCAGGTTGGCGTTGAGCCACGACTCGTACTCATGCCGCGCCAGCTCAGCGCCCACCGCCTCCGCAGGCGCCGCCGCAGCCCGCTCGGCGGCCCCCTCGCCCTCGCGGGCGCTGGCTGCGCCGCGGCGGGCGGCGCGGGCGCGGGCGCCGCCGCTCGGGGGGCGAGGCGGCAGCGAGGGCGGCGGGGCGCGGGCGCTGACGCGGATGACCTTCACAGCCACCACGCTGTCGTTCCATACTCCTTGGATTGTATTGTATCGTATTCGATTGGATTGGATGAGATTGGTGGGTGGCGGCAGCAGCGGTGGGATGTCGCCGCGTATGAGCGCGCTTGCGACGGCACGCTAGCCGTGAGAGTGCACACGCACATGCGGGTCCTCACGAGTCGCTGGCGCGTGTGCGGGGATGCGAGCCCAGCGCGCTCTCGGCGTCGGCGGCGGCCCCTGTCAATCACAGCAGCCCCCTCACCCTTGAACACCTCGCCGAAGCTGCCCTTGCCAATCCGCTCAATGAAGTCCACCTGCGGCAAGCTCGGCAGCAGCAGCGGATCTGGGAACGCCTCGCCGCCGCAACCAAACGCAGCTGCACTGGTGGCGCCGCCGCAGCTGGCGCCGACCGCGCCGCCGCTGATAGCGAGCGGCGCCGGGGAGGCCGGGGGCGCGTGGGCCGCGCTGGTGTGGCTGAGGCGGCTGGGGTTGCTGCCCCACGCGGCGTTCAGCCGGCTCGTCCGCCGCCGCACGCGCGGGCTCTCGCGGCAGGGCGACCGAGGGGAGCGCGCGGCAAGCGATGGGGGCGGGCCGTCGGCGCCGCCGCCCGCCGCGGGCGCAGAGACGCGGCGCTGCAGCACGGGCGGCCCCCAGGCCCCATCTACCCCAGAGTCGCCGACGCTTCCGCCACCGACGCTGCCGCCGTCGCCGCCGTCGCTCACGTTGCCCCTACTGGAGCACATTGGGAGGGCCCCGCCCTCCATCCCGGCGTCCGCACAGCAGTCCCCCGCAGGGACGCCCGCGGCCGCCGCCACCACCGCCGCCGCCGCGCGCAGCGCGCCGGCCAGGTTGCCGCTCACCCCACCATCGGCGCCCGGCGCGCCCGCCGGCGCTGCGCTTGGCCCCTCCACGTACGCGCCCCAGGCCAGAGAGCCCCGAGCTGGCGGCCCTATGCCCGAGGCGCTGCCGCCGCCGCCGCTGCCGTCAACATGATTGTGAGATGACGAGGCAAGAGGGCTGCTGCGGCCGCCGAAATCGGGCACGTGCGGCGAGCTCGCACCGTCCCTCCCGCCGTCGCCGCCGGCGGCCGGTGCTTGGGATGTCGGGCCGCTGGTGCTGCTGAACCCGCTGCTTGGCCCCTCCCAGCTGGCGCAGGGCAACAAGGGTGGCATGCACGGCACGCCTACGTGCGAGGCGTCGGCGGAGGCGTCGGCGGCGGCCGCCGCCTCGCCGGCCGGCGCGCGCGAGGCGGCGGCGTGCTCCTGCAGCGGCGTCGCCTCGCGTGAGGACGGGCCGCCGTCGCCGCCACCGGCGGCGTGGGGCTGCCGGTGATGCTGGTGCCGCTGCTGATGGTGTGGCTCCGACCTGCGCCGACGGCCCCCGTGCTGTCCGCCGCCCCGCAGGCTCCCGCCGCCGCCCTCGCTCGCCGGCACACGGCGGCGGCCGCCGTCAGCGGCGTTGGGCGCGGTTGCATGGCAGCCGCGGCTAGTTGGCGCCAAGGGTGAGGCTGCCAGGGGCACCCCCAGGTCGAGGCTGCCGGCTGCATGGGCCTGGCAGAGCGCCATGAGGCTGGAAGTCGAGCGGACAGGGGTGCCTGGGCACGAAGGGCTCCCTGCATCCCCTCCGCCGGCGCTGCGGGACGAGGGGCGAGGCGGGGTGGGGGTGCGATTGACCTTGGGTCAACGCTCACACGCAGTCAAAACAGTCAACATCCAACAAACCCACATGCAACAAGGCCCCAGCATACAGGTTAGCCAGACCCCGGGCGGCGCAGGGCCCCAGCTTCCGCCAAACCTGTGCTGGTGGCGCGGCGACGCAAAGGGCGACCGCCCCGCGCGCGCGCCGCCGAGCGGCGACATGGCGGCGCTGTACTTGAAGCCCAGCAGCTTGGCCGCGCCCACGGGCGGCCCCCAGTGGGAGCTGAGGACGTTGTCAGCGTTGATCTCTCGGATGCAGCTGTCGTCACTGGCAACCGACAGCGCCTCGTCAGCGAGCGACCCGACGCACAAGCTGTGGACGCCGCCGCCGCCACCGAAGCTGCCACAGGAGAAGCTGCCACATGGCGCCGGCGCGCCATCCGGGCAGCACGCCGCGGCGCCGGGGCAGAGTGGGTGGGAGTGGTGCTGCTGCAGCTGGCCGCCAAACAGGTTGCGCGCACAGCAGGGCTGGCTGCCAGGCATGCTGGTCGACCTGACGACACCCGCGCCCAAGGACCCTGAGCAGCTGCCGCCGCCGCAGCTGGAGAAGCTGCCGGAGCCGCCCCCCAGCCGACCCTCCCCGCGGACCCTCCCTAGCGAACTCAGCCGCTGCAGCGGCGCGGCGGCAGGGGCGACGGCGGCCCCCAGGCTGCCGCATCCCGCCCCCCAGTGCTGCTGCGCCGGCCCCAGACCGCTGGCGCTGCCCGTCGTGCAGCGCCTGCCACGTGAGAAGCCGCCTCGCGCACACGTGGCTGCGGGGACGGGGGAGCTGCAGCCGACGGGCTGCGGCCAGCCGCCGCTGCTGCTGCAGGTCACCCCGTCGTCCAGCCCGAAGCAGCTGCTCGCGCCGCAGTCAGAGCCGCTGCTGCGCCCGATCCGCAGCGGTGGCAAGCTTGGGAGCCCTAGCGCGTCGCCATCGCCGTCGCCGCCAAACGTTGCTGCCGGCTGGCTGGGCGGGCAGCCGTCGAGAAGGCCAGGGGGACCCGATGACTGCTGCTGCTGCTGCTGCTGCTGCTGCTGCTGCTGCTGCTGCCGCGGATGGGGCGACGAAGGGGATTTTGAGAGGGGCGGCAGGCCGAATATGCTGGCATATAAATCGTCCGCAGAGGAGCACACCCTTCCCGCCACCTTGATGCCGCGCAGGGCGCCGCCGCCAGCCTGTGGCGGCCCCGCGTCGCGGGCGGAGGCCTCCGCCGCGGGCGGCGGCGCTGCTGCTGCCGCTGTCGTCGGCGGCGGCGGCGGAGGCTCGCGCGCGGCCGGCTGGGGCCCCGGCCAGTCCAGCCCGTCCTCGCCGCATGCGCCCCCAGCGACGCCAGCCCCCGCCGGCTGCTGCCCTGCCGCGCTGCCCCAGCTGCCGCGTGCGTGGCCCGAGCCGGTTGCAACTGGCTGCAGAGCGCCAGCATCCGAGGGCGGCGGGGTCTCGGCTGCCGTGGGCTGCGGCTCGGGTTTTGATGGCAGACAGCTGTCTGGTACGACTGCCCCGATCTGCACCTTGCGTGGGCCCGCAGCTTCGCCGCGCCCGGCCTGTTGCCTCAGTGCCGCCGCCGCGCAGTCGGGCACGTCGGTGCACCTCAGGCGGCCCGCGGCGCCGGGGCGCGCGCGGCGCGTCAGCAGCGCTTGGGGCTCCTTCGCGCGTGCCGCCGCGCGGGCGTCAGGGGCCGGGCCGGCGCGGGGGGCGTGTTCATCGGGGGCGGCCGCCGCGTCGCTGGTCTCAGCATGGTCGCCCTAGTAGTGAGAGCAGGAAGCGAGCCATGCAAGAAAATCACATGGCGAGGGCGAGCTGAGGGGCTCGTCAGGCCCTCAAAACTGAGGAGTTCCAGCCGCCTGCTGCGCTGCGCTGCGGGGGCCGGCATGTTGCTGGCAAACTTGGCAATCCACCGGCGGAGGCGGCAGCTTCTCACCTCCAGGGGGCAACCATCCAATGCTGCAGGGTCGCAGGCGGCCTGTATGACTGCCCTTGCCGCATCGAATGCGCCATCCTGCACGGGAAGTGCAGTATGTGCAGTCATCCCGGTGCCCGTCGCCGGGGGCAGCTGCTCAGCACAGCGCCGCAGCGTGCGACCGCCTTGCACTCACCGGTTCGTCCCTCAGCGGGCTAGATGGCTTCTTGAATATGGTACCGAAAATGTTTTTGAGCTTGCGGGGCGTGCTGCCATCGTCCTGGGTTTGTGTTTGCACAGAACGGACGTCATCAAGTGTTGAGCATCGCCATGCTTCATTTAACGTGAAATAAATGGACTTGCAGACGATCAATTGCCATGGCCACCCACCCACCGCTGTGTTGACCTCAACCAGCTCTCTCACCATGCTCTGACAGCCAGCTCTTGGCAATCGCTCGATTTATAGGAGTCAATCGACAATCACCGAGTCGTATATATGCATCTTCAGTATGACGGCTGAACGATCTCCGCGGATGGATTGCACGTCCGTCGCCCTGCTCGTGCTACTGGCGAGGGAGCGTTGAAGCAGGTTGCATGCAATAGAAATCATCTAAGTAGCGATCTTGGCGGCTGGTCCTGAATGTTTGTGAGAGTCCCACTCGGCTGCTTCGGCACCCGGTGCCGGCACACAAACTGACCCGATTTAGTCAGAGGACCCATGCCACATGGGGTGTTCTGATCGCCTCTGGTGTTGCACGAATGGATGTACACTAGAAAGACATTTGGCAGCAGGTACTTGCTCTATTCGCCACGCATTCTAGGCATGCACGCGGCAAGGTGGGCTGCATGCAAACATCCTCGGCTCCCAACTGACCGCTAAGGGAATTGCAAAGGCCACAGCCGCAAATCTATTCATGTCTCACCTATGCCTAGCCCCGGCCGACCCGTCCACTCACAGCACAAAAAAATGCATACGACATGGTATCGGCGGCCAAAACGGCACAACCACCACAGCCATTACAGGAGACCGATCCAACCGGGCACCAACCCTGGCATAACAACGTATCGTCGCCCGTGCCCCGCGTATAGATAACCTCATGCACCATTTACACATGAACAGACATCTGGTGATAGTGAGTGCCAGCAATGTATTGATGGTGGCAAGCTGAATCGTACAATTTGGCGAACGCGGCCGCAGGTTGTGCGCGACGGCGCAGGGCGCGCACGCGCGTGGGCACGGTGGAGCGGCACCTCAGCGCTGCCACTCTGCATCAAGGCCGCCGCAACGCATTGCTGCAAGCGGGGACCCCTCCCTCAACACCAAACACTGCCAACACTGCTGCGAACGACAAACGCCGAGGACCGGGGCAGCAAGCATTCAAGGACGCTACTGCCAGTCATCCACGGCGTCGTACTCTCCGGGCCCCCGACGCGCTGGCCGCCACTGCGGTCCTCCATAATCCTGCTGCCCCTGCTGTTGCTGCTGCGCCTGCCCCTGCTGCTGCCCAGGCCCGTAGCCGCCGCCCGCGCCCTGCACGTCGGGCCCCGGGAGGGCAGGCCCGCCTGCTGCCGAAGGCCCGTACGGGTCGGGTGCGCCGCCGCTGCCAAACTCTCCATAATAGGGCACATCCGGCCCGTACAGCTGCGCCGGCGGAGCCGCACCGCCGCCATAGTATCCCCGCCCGCTCGGCCCCACACCCGCGGCCGCCGCCGCGGCACCCGCAGCGGCGGCGCCTGCGGCGATAGATGCGTAGTCGCCGTCCAAATCGAGCCCGCCCGCGCCGCCGCTTGGGCCTGGGCCATACCCGCCGCCATCCACCATCGGGGCGGCCACCCCCATCGGTTGCTGCTGTGGAATGGGGTTGCCGTAATAGTCATATGCAATAGTCTCCTCCACGTACCGACCGCCCCACTGCGGCGGGGCCGCCGCCTGCTGCTGCTGCTGCTGCCAGGGCGGCGGCACTCGGTCCGCGCCGGGCGGCAGGTAGCCCGCGCCGCCGGCGCGGAAGTCCTGGGGCTGCTGCTGCTGCTGCTGCTGCTGGGAGTAATACTGGTCGGCCGGCGGCGGCAGGAGCGGCTGGTCCTCCTGCAGATGATAATGATGATGACAGATGCAGCGCGCGCACAGCTCAGTAGTCAACATGCCAGATGCTGCCCTTGTGCAGCAGAGTAGCGAGCGAACGCGTCCGTGTCTCGCACTGTACCCAGGCTGAGTGCATGCGCCGGCCCATGCGCATAGGCGCGTCAGCGCTGCGTTCGTCGCGCAGGCCATGATAGGAGCTCACCTCCTCATCCTGCACCTGCGCCCTCAGCTTGAACGCCTCGAGGCCGTACCACACCGCGACAGACGTGGTGAGCGCCTGGCGGCGCGGCGGCGAGCGAGCAGATGGGCATGCGTGCGAGTTGCGGGTGGGGGTCGCAGGGTAACGGCGACGGCGCGCGGCTCCCCTCTGGTTGAAGATTGGCTGGGGAGAAGCGTGCCCTGGTGTGGTGTGAGAGCGTTCGCTGCGGCGCCGCGCGCCTCTCGCGTGGGTGCAACTGCTGCAAGCAACTCCCCTCTCCCGCCCCGCCATGACGGCGAGGCCGTGAGAACCGCCTCGCTGCAGCTGCCGCCGCACCTGGCAAAGCAGCAGCAGCGGGTCGAGGCGCCAGCCTTGAAATATCAGCGTGCTGCCCACAATCGACACCATGGCCGCCACCACGATGTCGGCGTCGCGCGACACGCGCCGCTGCAGGTTGCGCGTCTGCAGCAGCGCGATGCCGCAGCCGATCAGCGCCGTGCCGAGCACCAGGCTGGGGCTGGCGAAATCGACGTTGACCATCGCTAGCGGCAGGTGGGCCGCGGAGGCCGCCGCGAACGACAGCAGCGGCTGGGATGCGGCGGCGGCGGCCGCGGCGGAAAGGGCGAGCGAGCGCACGCTGCGTCGTGCCGCCCAGGGGTTCGCTGCTGACGCGCCGCGCCATGGGCGGCAGAGCGGGGGAGTTGCGCCACACCGCCGTGCCAAGGCCACTGGTCCTGCTGCCACGCCAATTGGGCATGCCTGCGGTCATCGAGCGCGTGATTGTGCGCTTTGGTGCGCGCTGCGTGTTGGAGGCGACGGTGTGCGGCGGCCGCATGCCATGGCTGAACCCCAGCTGCCTGATACAACCATACAAACACAACAGACGCTTGTACTATTGACCGCGCCGACCAACGGCGCTCACCTGGCGGATGGCCATGCCACGCATGTTTACGGGTTCGCGTGAGCTGCCCCTGATCGAAGGTGTTATAAATGAAACACTTGGCTTGTGTTTCGCTCGCTCAGCTCTCAACGATCAGCCAGCGGAGGCAAGATCGATGCGCTGGGCTTTGACAGCGCACAGCAGCAACACCGTATCGAGCCTAAGTCTCTGAACGAGCGATACCCACATCAGCCAATGTGGCACTGTTGAGCCCTTGCATGCACAACTGTGCGGTGTTCGCAATCCCACGCTTGGGGCACCGTCAAAGCTGAACCTCGGCCGCTGCCTAGTGTGCGCGAATCCAAGTTGCCGCCTTGTGCCATGTAGAGCTCCCCACACCGCAGCCGTGGCGACAATCTCATGTGTCAATGTGGCAGAGGGGCCCTGATTGCTGCTCAAGCAGCAACAAGCACCCACTCGTGAAGCAGTTGCTTGCCCCTCTGACAGCACTTGCCAAGCCTGCAGGCAAGAACCTGCAAGACCCTTGTCTACTGAATGTGCCGGCAACTCAATGCTGGAGTTGCCAAATGTCGCTGCAGCAGCAGTATTGCAGGCGCTGCCGCGGAGCTAGCATGCCGCTGCAGTGGGCTACCAAGCACACAGGCACAGTGTGAGCGGGCGCAAATGTGCATGACGAGGCTGCTAGGCATTCGTCCCATGTCAGCCCTGAAGCCCTGTACATCCACCCTCGAAAGACCCAACAGCATGGTTACAGAGGTGGTTTGTGATGGTGGTGGTGAGAAACAGCTTGGTGGAAGTTGAGAAGGTGGTGATAAAGGGCTTGGTTGTGCTTGCAACGTACCAAGCAGCCTGCGACTCAATCCAGAGTGCGTGCAACGGTGGCACAAGCCTTCCCGCTTCCCGATACATGCATCCGAAAGGAATCCAGGTGGAAATTATCAAAATCTGAAGTGGCAACTGACAAGGCTGTTCAGAGGGCAAGCCTCTGCAGTTGCATATGGTGCACGCAAATGTGTTGTTGATGATTGTGTGAAGGCATGCGTGTGTATATCTTGCCCAACTTCATCCACTCAACCCCACCAACTCAACCCATCCGCCACCCACCCCTTCATGTTGTATCAGTCCCTGCAACCCACCCTGCCCATGACCACCTGCCGAGAAATCGAGATCAAATTTGCCACGGCGATTGTGCGAACACCACCCCACTTGCTCCCTTGCAGCCGCATAATAAATTGAGCGCGCCTAGCTGGCGGCCCGCACCCTTCGGCACATCATCGCCAGCGCCTCAAAGCCGCATCGTCAGCGCCTCACAGCCGCATCGTCAGCGTCACCTCCACGACCTGCCCGTCCGGCAGCTGCCACGCGCGCGTCGCCGGCTGCGTGTTGTTCGCGATCGCGCCGTACGCCTGCACCACGCCGCGACGAAGCAGGTTCCAGCCCGCCTCCCGGCCCAGGACGCGCGTGCCGCCGACGACGTAGACAGTCCGCTGGCGGTAGCAGTCCAGCAGCACGCCCACCTCGTCCAACTGCCGGCGGCTCAGCCCACCGGGGGCGATCCCGGGAGCCCCCGCGCTGGCCGCACGGGCCATGATGGACGGGACCGAAAGCGGCGGCCCGGCGCCGCCGCCAGAGGTCGAGACGCCAAAGGACTCGGGGCCGCCCCCGAGCGTAGGCTGTCCGCCGCGGCGGCGGTGCGGGAGGGACTGCTCGCGGTACTGCCACCTGAGGGGAAGGGTGGGAGGTTTGAAAACACCACGCATCAGTGTCTGCTGCTGACCGCGAAGGGTAAAAGAAAGGAGCTGCAGACTGACAGGCAAGGCCGGGCGCAGCCGTCGGCCCCAGTGCCTTGTGCCTGGCGGCTCTGACGCCGGGGCAGCCGTGCTGGCGGCCAGACCCGGGCACACAGCCACCCTAATCGTTGCTTCAGCAGCCGCACCGTGTCCGCCCAAGCAGCCCCAGAGGCTTACCGGGTGTATGACTCGCGACCCAGCTGCCGCGGGCTTCCGCCCAGCTCCGGTATGATCTCCGCGTGAGCGATCGGAGGCTCCGCCGCGGCCGTGTTGGGCGAGGCCAGGGGGGCAATAATGGACGCCACGTGCTCAGCGCCGTCCGCCGGCGGCTCGCCGGCTGGAGCGGTGGTGTAGAGGATGTTGAGGGATGGGCGACACCAGAGAGCAGTTGGTTGAGGTCGAGGTCGGGAGACGAGCAAGATGGACGCTTGCCGCAAGCGGGGTTGGCAAGGTGCTCAGCACTCGGGCAGGGGTGCGGAGGGGTCGCCCAAACGCCTTGGGGAACAGCAGCACTGGCACCCACCCCTCGTACTCAGGCCTGCCATCCTGACCCAACCCTAGATCCCTTGCCAGGGCGTAGGGGGCTGTGTCAGCTCACCCTGAGCAGGCACCGCCATCAGCGTCGCATCGTCATCCATTGACGCAGACATGCTGAACCACGCCTTGGCCGCGCGACCGTCCCCTCTCCCCTCGCCGCCCGCGGCGGCGGTTGGCGCCGCGCCCTCCCCCACATCCAACGCCACGTGGCCGCCGCCGTCGCTCCCGCTGCTCCTGCCACGCGCCGACCCTGCGAGGGGGCTGCCGCCGCGGGGCACGACCTCCCGCCCCTCGCCGGCGGCGTGGCGCACGAGGCAGCCGACGAGCTGGCGCACAAACTGGGGTAGCAGGGTGGGGCGCAGGGCAGTGTGAAAGGGCATGACGGGCACGCGAGGGCCGGGTCGGTTGCGTGGCCATCAGGAAAGTGGGGGGCTGGCCAGCCACTCTAGAGCAGCCACACTAAAGCAGGGCCCAAACTGCTGCTGCAAAGCGTCCGCGAGGCCGCCGCTCTGGAACCGCAGGCGTGGCATCGGTTTCCAACTTTCTCCCCGCAGCTGGAAGGTCGGTGTGCACAAAATCACGCTGTGAAGCAGCGCCCGTCCCCGCATGCGAGTCAGCGACCGCTGATTGACAACCACTCACGTGTGCCCCGTGGTCGATCTCTTCCATGTATCCGTACCGCGCGATCACGCGGTACACGCCGGCGATGGTCCGGCTCCTCCTCACTAAGAACCTCTCGGTGGGCATTACGTAAGGCATCGGCACGAAGCGCAGCGTGAGCAGCACGCTGACGCGCGCGAGGGCCGGGAGGTTGTTCAGCAGGTGGCCCATGACGGCGGGGACGCCGCTGGTGCTCTGGGTGTAGAAGATGGCGAGGCCAGGGACTCTGCAGGCGGTGGGGTTCGTGGCATGGTGGAGGACGAGGACTGTCATGGTCAAGATCACTGAAAGATGATCGTGCTCAGGTGGGAGCGACCGAGGGGGAGGCTAGATGGCAAACGCGGATGCAGGCTCGCGTGCACACCCCGCAGCGACGCGGAGGTGTGCAGGGCCGGCGCGAATTGGGGGCTGCAGGGATGAGATGCACATCGCCGTCCTTTTTGGCCCGCCGGCCGCGCCGCACCTGGCCAGGGGCATGTCCCCGAAAGACATCTGGGCGCGTTCCAGCTTTGACTCGCCCCCCGAAGCTGCGCCGCCGCGGCGGTAGGGCGCCGACACCGCCGAGAGCCTGCCCGTCCCCGCGCCGCGCGCGCCGCCGTCCCCTGCTTCCTGCGCGTGCTTGTTGCCCTCGCGCAGCACTTCAACGTTGCTTTTGGAGGTCAAGTCGCGGTCTCCCGCCGAATAAGTGCCGATGAACCCAGCGCCACCATCCCCGTCCGGCCGTGCGGCGGGCGGAGGCGCGCCGCGGCCGCTGGTGACGTCATCAGCGTCGTCGACAGCCGGCAGCTGGCGCAGCAGGCTGGTGTTTGCGGCGGCCTGCTCCAGCAGCCACTTGGTCTTCTGGCGGCTCCCGTACCTGTTTTGGTTGTTCAGGGGGCCGCAACAGACAGGTGAGGCCGAGATGCATCATTGGGTCGGCGGTGAACGCTGGGTTGATGTTTTGAAACGGGACGCGCAGACACCGAGTCGCTCTCGATCGATACGTGTTATCAACAAAAGCCAGGGGCCGCGCGTGTGACAACGCCGTGCGAACAAACCGCCTGCGCCCTCACACAAGGACACGCGGGCATCTGCGCCCGCCTCAACTCACCACCAGACGAAATTGATCGAGGCGACGAAAACGGCGATGACCAACGTGACCCTGCAAGGGTTTCCAGGGCCGCCACCGTGCGGCAGGGCATGGGCGCGAATCGTGAGCTTGGGCGAGCGGCCGGCGCGGCTGCGCCCACCTTGGGTTGGCCACAGCAACGAGAACACCTCGCCGAAAGGTGGCCGCTGCTGCTGTGCGTGCAATGGACGCACATCGCGCGGTGTTTTGCCTCCCGCAGACGCGGCAGCAACCCCACCTCGCCCCATCACCCCACCCCTGGCTGGCAGGCCCACCAGCCGCCCTCTGGAATCTTGATGGCATTGCTGCTCAGGAACAGCCCCTCAAGGGGCACTGCAGGCGGAGGGAGGGGGCAGGGGCCAGCAGCGCACCACAGAGAGGCGTGGGACGAGCTGGATGTGGGCACATGTGCGTGCAGGGCAAGGGCGCGACGGCCGCGAGAGCTGAGACGCCAGCAAGTGCTGACATGCAAGTGGCCGCGGCAATAACAGGCAGAGCACGTGCCAGCTGGCCCCTGGGCCGGCGCGGCCAGAAGGTGTGGGGAGGGCCCTGGCGACACCCACCAAAGAAAGCAAGGTACAGCCCGACAAGGATAGGATTGATGTCGTAGCACGCCACCATTACTAGTGCCGAAAGGAATGTGGTGACAAACATGACCGTCATGACGGCGACGCCGTACGCGTGGCCCATGGCGGTAGTGTCTTGGAAGCCCGCAACCATGGCGACGCAGCCAATGAGGAGCATGAAATTGATCTGGAGGGTAGTTGGGGGCCGCCACATGGTCATGCACGCGCGCATTGGCTTTCGTGAGAGGGCGTGCGCCGTATTCGGCCGAGACCGTGTGGCTATGCATCCGTCCAGGCAGCAGTCAGGGTGCAAGAGGCACGCCGCAGAGCGCGACGCCGCATGGAACGGCTGTGCTTGTCTTGTACAGCAGCCCTCGTGACCCAGCCACATCCCATCCCGCCATTTGAGGTGGGCGCCAAGCAGATCATCCCAGATCTGACCTGTCCAATGTAGATCTGGCCCTCTTGCAGCTCGTCGGTGTGTTCGACCCTGAGCCGTGGGAACACGCCCAGCATCATCGCCTGCGGGATGCCCACGGACGCGCCGCACACAAGCATGTGTGCATGATGTCAGCGCATTCATAGGGGTCAATGGTGTGGGGCTGGCCCTATGCTCTGGCGGATCGATGGGCCTGCTCCAATGCGCATGCCCGCTTGGCGCGGCGGGTCCAAGTCAGCTGGTGAAACAAGCCAGGAAGGGGTATCCTAACCCTGGCCAACTGCAGCGCGGCGGGCCACCCGCCGCACAAACACGGACTGTCGC